GTCTCTGTCTCTCTGTCTCTGTCTCTGTCTGTCTGTCTGTCTGTCTGTCTGTCTGTCTCTCTCTCTCTCTCTCTCTCTCTCTCTCTCACACACACACATACACACACACACACACACACACACACACACACACTGGCCCTCACCTTGTGATACTCTCTGTCATGAATCCCTCAGGTAAATTTGTTGCCCATGCTGGACTCTTAGACCTCTGAAACCCTGAGCTAAATAAACCTTTTCTCTTTATAAAGTTTGTAGTCTCGTGTGCTGTATTACGTAGTAACAATGACAATACCAACAAACCAGACTAACACACCAAGTGGGGGTAACATCAGCAGAGGCTGGCCCACCTCAGTCTTAGGAGGCCTGGGAATTGGAAGTACAATCAGAAATGATGGAGAAAATGGAGTTCTGCCTCTCCAGTATGTATTTCTTCCTGGGGAAACGCTGGTGTCTGCTTGACGGCCTGCAGCGATTCATTTTATTCCATAGGATGAACATCTGGCTTTCCAAGACCTTCAGCTTCATCTCACTGAACAAAAGCCGTTCGAGGATCTTGTCCTGGAGGGCAAAGCAGGCATACATTTTCTCTATTTCTTTCGTGTTCTTGGCATTGTTGTTCTTGGGGCCAGCTTCCGACGTCTTTGGCTTCTCTTCCTTCTCCTAAACTCCCCACCACCAGGAAGAGGGAAAAGTTGGTTAATGATGACAATCCCTTCCCACACTGAATACCTGCTTCCTGCCACAGTCTTAATGTTCAGGCCTATCTGCAAGGAGAAAACCTTCCATTCATTTTGCAGGTAATAGAATGAGGTCCCTTGAAGAAAAGTCACCTTCTCATTATAGTGTAGAGCCCAGCTCCCAAGAATCCACGGTGGTCTTGGATTCATAGGAGTAATCTGTCGGTTGCAGATGACGCAAGCCCTTAACTCAAATGATATCTGTCTCCAGAGTAATTTTCCCTGGAGGCCTTCTGAGCATTTGCCAGCCCCAGGAGAACCTCTGACTGCAAAGTCTCAGTGGTCTCCTGACATGCTCCTCTCTCTAATCCTCATTAATTTTCCCCACTCCCCTTAATTACTAATATTTTCTTCTTCTTTTTTGGCTTCAGCTACAAACTATTGACCTCTAATATGTTAGTAAATGTCACAACCAATATCCATATTCCCTTGCTTAGGAAATAAAATATCACAAATATAAAAAATATAATGGAAATCCTCCATGGATCCCTGTCCTTTTTTTTTTTTTTTTTTTTTTTTATTTGATACAGGGTCTCACTATGCAGCTCGCACTCAGAATGCTGATCCTGTTTTCAGCCTCCCAAGTGCTGGGATAACAGGCATGTGCCACCATGCCCAGTCTCGGTGGCTGGCTCAGGGTGCCCTGGGGCAGAGTGGGTGCAGCATGAGGTGCCAGGGATCAAACCCCAGTCCCTGTGCTTCCCTTAGCAGGCACTTAGTCAGCTAAGCTATCTTGCCAGCCCTAGACACCTGTCTTTTTTTTTTTTCACCTGTCTTATAAGTATTCTCCTGCCCTCCTGAAAATCATCTCTTCAACTATAATCCTCAATTTGATATTTATTTTTCCCGTGAATTTCTTTTTCCTGCACTGGAGATTGAACCCAGAGTCTTTACATTGAGCTAAGTCTCTTGTCCTTTGTTAAATTTTTTTTTAAATGTGAGACAAGTACTCATTAAATTATCCAGGCTGAGCTTGCAAGCCTGCTGCCTTGACTTCCTAAGGGATTATAGGTATGTGCCACCACGCCTGGCTTTCATGTATATTTTTATGGGAAGCTGTTTTGTCCTTACTGCATAGCTTATGGCAATGTGTGGAAATATTTTTGTTTGCCACAAATGGGGGTGTGGTCATTGGACATCTCGTAGATAGAGACCCAGGATGCTGCTAAACTTGCAACAATGCACAGGACAGTCCTCTCTACAAAGAATTCTTCTTCCCAGAATGTCAGTAGCACCAACATTGAGACATCTCACCTCAATATACTTTCACTACACATATGCAGCCATAAACAGTAGAAGGTATTGGGTTTTTTTGGGGTTTTTTGGCCTCTTTTAAGACAAGGTCTCACTATGTAGCCACTTTTTAGTCTAGGAGGGTCTCCAATTCATGGTGTTCCTCCTACCTTAGCCTCCTAAGGGCTGGGGTTATAGGCATGAGCCACTATACCAGTCACATATGTTTTTCTTTTCTTTTCTTTTCTTTTTTTTTTTTTTTGTGTGGAGCTGGGGATTGAACTCAGGCCCTTGCACTTGCCAGGGAAGCGCTTATTCCACTGAACCATCTCCCTGGCCCCGCAGTCACATGTTTTTAAACCTTATGTAGAAGCTACTCAATATAGTATGGATGTGGAATGTCCCTCAAAGGCTTATGGGTGAAAGGGTTGCACCCCAGACAGTAGTACTATTGGGAAGTAGTATAATCTTTAAGAACTAGGGCCTAATGGGAAGTTTTCAAGTAATAGGAGAGAGTTTTCTTTAGCTCCTTTTTCACTATCTGGCCAGGAGATGAATTATTTTACTCCACTGTGCCCACTCACCAGAGGCCTAGAAGCAATGGAATCCACCTTACCATGGACTGGAACCTCCAAAAGTGTGACCCAAAATAAACTTTCCCTTTTCTCTTTATAAATTGATTATTTCAGGTATTTGTTACAGTAACAGATAGCTGGTTAATACATTTTTATAATCTACATGCATTTCTAGAATCTCCATTATTATATTTTAGAGTTTTGTCTATGTTGGTACATGTATATAGTTTATCCATTTAAGTATTTTTTTCACTTGCAGTAGTTGATACTGTTACTGAAGCAGGAAACATGTTGACATCAATGAGGAAATAGAAGACTCTAGGATGGTCCCTATTTTGTAGGTGAAGCAACTGAAGTCTTGTGGAGCAAAAGGATTTACCCACTATCACCCACAAGGAAATCACAGGGTCGGAACTTAGACCAAAGTCTTGAACTCCTCAGTCTTGCCTCATTTTCCTGACACCTTCTCTGTTTCTGCCTCCCACCCCAACTAGCTAAATATCCCATAATCCCCAGTGACACCTAAGCACCCTCTCGCTCACCTGTGGGGATTCTGAGGGAGTGGCTTTAGATTCATACTTGACCAGCCAGTTGCTAAGCAACAGAAGAAGAAATAGGAACCCAAACAAGAAGGGCTTGTAGTTCATCAGCCAAGTCAGCAGTGCTCCCACCATGCCTGAGGAAGTGTCGAATGGAGACTCCTAAAAAGAAGTACCAATTCCTCCAACATTATGGTGCGGAGGCACACAGGCTCCAGAACCCTGCTTTAGCCCTCCCCATGACAGGAGTCACAGCCACCAGCTCCCCTGAGTCACATCCAGGTCCCTCCTACACCCAGATGCCACATGCCACATAACAATGATATAACTACACTTATGTCTTAAGCACCCACTATGTGCCAGGCTCTCTGACAGGCAGTTTGCAAGCATCATCTCATGGTGTCCTCATAAAAGCCAGATGATGTAGGGAAGGCTTAGCCACACTTCACTATTCAGCAGTACTTCTGGGTCCAGCCACTGTGTGCAAATGGTCAGTGACACACAGTACCTACAGTCATGTGGGGGAGACCACCAAGAAAAATGCCCCAGAACTTGAAAGGAAAGCAAAAAGATTACTATGTGTGCATTCACGGTCACATCAGAATACTGTTTAACAAGACTGCTTACTGGTAACCTCATGACTAGAAAAAGCAATTTGTTTGACTTACTATTTAGTATTGATTAGGGTCCCTACTCTGCAAATTTAGATGTTGCCTTTTCAAAAATGGTTAAGTGGCTCTAGCAGTTCCACTTCTAGGAGTACTATTCAGCCTTAAAAAGGAAAGTGATCATTATATGAATGAAACTTGAGGATATTATTCTAAGTGAAATATACTAAGAAAAATGCAGTGTATGATTCCATTTACATGCAGTACCTGGAGTAGTCAAATTTACAGAAGCAGAAAGAATGGTGGCTACGAGGGGCTGGAGGGTGGGGAGAAGGAGGAGTGGTTAACAAGTTTAGATTTTGCAAAATGAAGTGTTCTAGAGATTATGTGAATTACTTAACACTCCTGAATATTGCACTTAAAATGGCTAAGATGGTAATTTTTTTTTTTAAATTTTTTTTTTTTTTATTTATTTGAGAGAGAGAGAGAGAGAGAGAGAGAGAAAGAGAGTGTGTGTGGTGTGTGTGTGTGGCCAGCTCAGCCCACCAGGGGGCGGGGCTGGCTGGCATGTGGTGCTGGGGGATTGAACCGCGGTCCCTGATGCTTTGCCAAGCTAGTTCCAAGTAGGTGCTTTAGACCACTGAGCCATCTCTCCAGCCCCTAAGATGGTAATTTTTAAGAGGGTTTTTTTTGTTTGTTTGTTTGTTTTGTTTTTTTGTTTTTTTGTTTTTTTTTTTTTTGGTCTTTTGGATACAGCGTCTCACTATGTACTTCAGGCTGGCCTTGAACTCAGTTTGTAGCCCAAGCTACTTTCCTGCCTCAGCCTCCCCTGTGCTGGGAGTACAGACATGTGTCACCATGCTCAGCAAGACAAACTTTTGTTATGTGTATTTTATCACAAATAATCGAAGATGGAATTTAATTGTTTCTGGGGAAAAATGGACAAATTTCAAATTAATTTCTTTATTGCCAATAGATACAAATGAATTCTAATAGAAAAGAAAATGCTAAACTTTACTGTCTTATGGACTTGAATATTAACTTTTTTTTTTTTTTTGGTCTTATGCAGTTCAAGCCGGCCTTGAACTCACTTTGTTGCCCAGGCTGGTCACAAAACAGAGTTTTACCAGTTCCTGATTTCATGTAAATGGAATAGCATTTGGAAAAGCCACACTTTGAAGAGATCGGCAAGCCGGGTGCAGGGCAGGCATCTGCAATCCCAGTATGAGGAAGGCTGAAACAGGAGGATTGAGACGCTGTCTCAAAATAAAACGAAAAAAGGCCAGAAGTGTAGCTCAGTAGTACAGTGCTCCTGGGTTCCGAAACTACTACTTTAAAATGAATGAAGGAATGTAAGTGTATGTAGATCTGCATAATACCAGTTGGAAATAAGCTGGAGGAACACAAGACCTGTTCCAACGTTGGATCAAGGAGGGCTCCCTGGAAAAATTAAACGAATAAACCTCTCCATTATCAGAAAGAAATGACCTGGAGTAGCAGAGGTGTCGTGTGTGCAGATGGGGGACACCGGGTGGTGCTAGCGAGAGATGTGAATGGGAGGGGTTCCAAACAAAAGAAAGAACCTGAAGAGCAGTTCCATTTGGAATCAAACAAGTTTCTGATGGTTCTCTCCATTCCCTTAGCACCGGAACTCATGAACCCAAGGTTTTTGCAGTGCTAGGTGGACAATCACGAAGAAATACAAAATCTACCAATCGGCTACAATGTTAGTGTTTTCACCCACTAGACCCATAAGCTCTTTAAAAGCAAGAATTTCATAATTCAATCTTTGTCATGTAATAGATATTAGTAAATACTGCTTGAATTGACTAATGGGAAAAAGAATGAGCGAAACACATAAGTGTCCTACGGAAACTGCGGCCCTCGGAAGTGCTGCGTGCCTCAGTCGCCCGGAATCCTCGAGGGACCCCTGGTGGCTCATCTGCAGAGCCGCTCTAGCCAGCCCCGCTCTCTTGCACACCGAGCCGCTCTAGCTTTCAGGCGCCGCTCTATGGCAGTGGGGAGGGGCCGGCCCCGTGGGCGGTGCCCGGCCTTTTTGTCTAGACACGGCGGGAGCGCGCACAACGCCAGCATACGCGGCGGCGTTCGGCGGCGCGCGGATTGCGTGAAGAGAGGCAAGAAGTGGAGGGGCTGCTCCGCACTCACGGAGCGACAGACCGAGTGGCTCTTGCGGCCGTGGGCGGCCAGGCGGCCTGAGATGTTGTCCGGGAAGAAGGCAGCAGCCGCAGCGGCGGCGGCAGCGGCGGCGGCGGCAGCCGGGACGGAGACCGGACCCGGGGCGGCGGGCGGCACCGAGAACGGCTCCGAGGTGGCCACGCAGCCTGCGGGCCTGTCGGGTCCCGCCGAGGTCGGGTCCGGAACGGCCGGGGAGCGCACTCCCCGCAAGAAGGAGCCTCCGCGAGCCTCGCCTCCTGGCGGCCTGGCCGAGCCGCCGGGGTCCGCCGGACCTCAGACCGGGCCCACGGTGGTGCCCGGGTCAGCGACCCCCATGGAGACGGGAATATCAGAGACCCCGGAGGGGCGACGGACCAGCCGGCGCAAGCGGGCCAAGGTGAGACCCGACTCCTCCTTTCTCGGCCCCGAGGGCCCGCGACCACCCAGTCTCCCGGCTCTGGGAGCCGCGCCGCCTGGCTGCCAGCCGGGTGGGGGTGGGGCGGGGGGAGGGAGGCCGGGAGACAGCCTTTGTGCTGCGTGGAGCCTGCGGGTGTCTGGAGGGTGTTTATCCTGAAGTCTTGTACACCTTTTCGTCTGCTGGACCGGGAAAAATGGCTTCCCGATATGGAGTCGCGGTTGGTGTTGTTGGAGACACCTCTTGTCTGTCCGTCGATGTGTGTGGAAGCTGTTGCACAGCAGTATGGATGGCTTCTTCGTTGTGCGCTAGAGATTTGGAGGGCAGTGCTAAGGCACTCGCCCTAGCCAAGGGACAAAAGAGAAAGTTTAAGCGCTTGCAGTTGAGTCTTTACTTTTATCAGTGATCCTGTTGGTGTGGGTTTTTGTAGATACGGAAGCCGAGGAGGAGGACCAATTAAGGTGCAAATGAGTGGGAAGAAAGATTTGGCACCACGTAGTACAGAGAGTAACTGCCTTCCTTCTCTGCATGCCAGCTGGTGTGTCCCCCAAGTCAAAAACATTTTACTTTAATTGCTAGACACTGACGCTAACAGGCAGGCATTGTTAACCCCCTTTTAGGAATGAGTAAACCGAAGTAGCCAGTTTAAATACCTTGTTTCAATTTAGCACAGTTAAATGGTTGTGCAGGCAGTTAGGCCCTTCTATTGTGACAGGCTATCATTGGCCCTTGTACAAAGGGCCGCATGGGACAATATCTGTTCAGGGTACTGGGGCGGTATTAGACCACAGACTTGGGTTTTTTTTCTGAAGATCCGGTGTTCTAGTTGAAAAAACTTGAAATATACGTAGGTATGATGAAGATATAGAGACGATCGGGGTGTGTTTCAGTGGTAAGAGTGTTTGCCTAGCACGTGTGAGGCAGGGGATTGGATCCCCAGTACTGCTAAACAAATAGATAGATGTACAGCCCATGTACTTTATGTTTATATGAAAGTTACCTCACTTTTTGTTTTGCCTTTTTTCCTTTGGAAGCTGGATCTCACTGTGTTCCCCAGGCCAGTGTCTAGGGATCTTTCTTCCTCAGCCTGGATATAGGTGGGATTACAGGTGTGCACCTAGCTACTGTAAATAACACTTCTCAGTTTTATCTGCCTGCTTGAGAACCCTCTCTGAAGTATACCCAGTGGTGGGTCAGAGGAATTTAGAGGAAAGGGTTTTTATCAAAGCCTGGGTTAAAAAAAGCATGGAGGTTAGTGATCTTGACTCTTAAGAAATGAAGCCTAGTTGGGTTGCATTTTATTACTTGATTAGAAAATGTGGCCAGAAACTGGGTTTTCATTATTAATAGAGACAGAGTCTTGCTAGGTAGCCGAGGCTGGCCTCGATCCTGCCTCAGCCTCCAGAGTGCTGGGATTATAGGCATGCACCGCCATGCCTAGCTCATACAGTATTTTTTTTTCTTTTTTTTTTTATGAACATAGGTATTCTTTATTTTTTTAATTTATTTCATACAGTATTTTTTTTATTTTTTTTTTAAAGTTTTTTTTTTTTTTTTTAATTTTATTTATTTATGTGTATGTGTGTGTGTGGCCAGCTCAGCCCACCAGGGGGCGGGGCGGGCTGGCATGTGGTGCTGGGGGATTGAACCGCGGTCCCTGTGCTTTCGCTAAGCTTGTTCCAAGTAGGTGCTTCAGACCACTGAGCCATCTCACCAGCCCCTCATAGAGTATTTTTTAAACAGGTGATTGTGATAACTTACAGTTCATATTTTAAAATGTTCAGTTAATGAATATTTTTTAATCACATTCACCGACCTGTGCAGTCTGTACCATAATCAATTTTTAGAACAGTGTCTCTGAGACCTGTGAATGTATCATTAGGTTGCTTTTCATCCCTCCCAGGCTCCAGCCTCTAGTAACCACTAGTCTACTTCCTGACCATGGATTTTCATGTTCTAGATATTTTACATGGAATCATACACTATGTGACCTTTTGTATTTGGTTTTAGCATGTTTTGAAGTTTCATCCATGTTATACTTCCATTCAATACTTGATATTATGGCAGAATTACATTCTGATGTGTTTGATGGATATTTTGGTTGT